GTTATGCATGGACGGATTTTGTTCAAATTTGGTACATACATTAAACATAATAGGACCTTGATGCACGTCTTTTTTTTTTTTCGGATCAAGTTCGAAATGGCCGACTGGCGGCCATTTTGTTAAAGAATTCAGTTCTGGATCCGTATCCAAGACATGTCTGGATTGATCAAGTTCAAACTTCACACACACATGGTACATCATGTCACAAATAGATATGTGCATTTGTTTCATGATCTGCTTAACAATAGCTGAATGATGGCCATTTTAAGGCCGAAAATGCATCAAAATCACGTATTTTCACAATTTCGGAACCGGATCTCAGTCATGCATGGATGGATTTTGTTCAGATTTAGTACAATGTGTTGTACATATGCAGGTGCATTTCGGTCATGATCTGCTTTGAATGTATGTCACTCAAATATGAACGGAACGGGGACGTGTCATTGACAATGACTTGTAATATCTTAGTTCTATACTTCTCTCTTACATGTATATACTCGAACCTTGGGACTTTTTTGTTGGACAATTTAGTTGCTATGGTGATAGTTTTGAAAAGTTCAAACTGGGCTCAGGCACTTTTCTAATGACTGATGATGATGATAAATACATCGTGTTTGGGTACAATTAATTCACTTGGTACTTTGATCAATGATAAATGTTTTTATATTTTTTTTTTCAAAATATATTTCATATTGCAAAAGTGGAAATCCCCTATGGCTTCACAGCATGTTCAACAAAATTCAAATAAAAGATACTCTCATTTTGTTATCAAGGGTAAAATCATTTGCACCCTATGAATATGCAACTGTTTGTTAACTTTTATTTTTATTTCCTCCACAGAGTTGTTGATCTTCTCAATGGTGGTGCTATCTTGAATAAACCTTTTCAACCATTTGAGGCTCATATACCATATCTCCTGCAGGTATGCATCTTTACACTCTCTCATTTATGTTTATCTTGGGCAGCTTCTATATTTGCACTTTGTATGATTTGCAACAAACCTTGCAATGACCCCTGTGAGCATCATAAGCATTTCATGTTCTGTACAGTTTACGAGAAATCTTATCAAACAGAGTCCTGAAAGTTTTGTATGAAATTTATTTTAACTGATTTTTGGCGAGTTAATGTAAAATTAAGAAATATATTTGCTGGATTTTATTTTCACTGAATCATTCCTTCAGTGAAATTATTGAAAATTAATTCTAAGCGAAAGTAAAGTATTTTACAGTAGTTTGTAATAGTAACCATCTCACTTTGATTGTTCAGTTGCACATTATATTTATTTAAGTACAAAATTTCCACATATTCAAAATTCAATTAAACAAACAGTTTAATTTACACTGCTTATACACATGGTTTTGGAAAAATTTGAAAAATGTTCTTATGAGCAAACTCATGAGGATTCTGGGTAATTCATGCAATGACAAAATTATGTTTCTATTTTAAGGTGTTTATTGATTATAACTTGTATGGTATGAATTTAATAAACTTAGCTGCCGTGAAGTTCAGACGACCCAAACAAGAAGGTAAGTTTGTTAATGCTTTCTTTTAGAGTTGTTTTGCTTTATGTAATGTACCACGTAGGTGTTGTGGATTTAGGTAATGTCATACAATGTCATAGATAATTTTGCAATAATGGAGCTTCCTGAATTTGTTGTGGGTAGAGCTGCTTTGTTTTACCAATTTGTAGGAAACTTTACAAGGACTGAATCTGGAAGTTTTGAACAGCTGCTTTGTCATGGGGCAATTAAAATGAAAAGAAATACAAAAATAACAATTCTACCATAGTACCTAAAATTTAGCTAAAATTAGTTTTCAAAATTTGTTTAAGCAGCCGTTTTAAAAGCAAGAATTTAACATGATTTTGACTGATGTTGTAGGTACTCAAATATACAGGTTTATTTTGTGAAAGGTGACAGAAATTGACTTTTGCGTTCAAAAGATTAAACACAACAACCACAATCATTAACTTTGATGCCTACCATAATAATTGCTGTTACATTGTTCTGCACAACTTTACTCTTACTTACTTTCATGACAGATAAAAACAAATTGAAAAAAACAAAATCCTGAATGTTTGTTTTTAAAACTAATCTACTTTGGTGATGTGAGAGTTGAGTTTTATAGATTAGTTTTTTTCTTTTTTAGGGGAGACATCAAATCAAGTCTATAGTCAAGGTAGTCATAGTAACACTTCAGTCATGACTCCTACAACACAGACAACGATGAACTCCTCAGTCTGCAGTAACTTGTCTATTGTGAGTCATCAGTATTGGGATGCTGAAAATATTCCTCGGTAGGTGCAACATACTTTCGTTATATTACCTGCCGTACCTGCTCTGTTGGAGTATCTTTATTTATTTTTTTTAGAGTATCATCCATTTCTCATGTTGTCTTTTGTAGAAAGTTTTTTGTTTGTTTTTTTGGCAGGGGGGTTAATTGTGATGTAAACCATGCCTCTACCATTAGGTGAATCTACAACATTTCATTGTCATTCATTTCAGTTCTCAGTTGCTTGATGCTGACATTGTCAGTCAGAGTGTATGCGAAATGGAAGTAGATGCTGTAGCTGCCGATGTCACTAACAGATCAGAGATACTAAGTGAGTGAAAGCCAAGACATGGGCTTGGGGTCTTCCACCTGTACATACTGTAAAATACTTTATTTTAGCTGGAATTAATTTTCACTGAATAGACTTCTGAGGTGTTTTGAATGTGTTTTTTTCTCACTGATTTTTGACGAGTTGAATGTAAAATATAGTGAAAATGGCACCATATATTCACTGGATTTTATTTTTCACTAAATCGTTAATTAATTAATTCCAAGCAAAAATAACGTATTTACAGTACATTGTATACTCATGATAGACTTGCAGATCTTTGGTGTTTCTGCATTGCTGGGATAGCACATGTGCTCCTTGAGAATATCCACAACCATGACATCCTACACAAATTGATGAAATTATATGTACTGTTTGGTTGATGCCAGTATGATTATTTCCTATCATTATTCACCACCATTTGAATATTTTGTTTCCTAGGTAACATAGGGACCAATCCAGGACTTGCTTCAATCTGGGAAGATGAGAAACAGAGACGCCGTGAAAAGGGGGAATCATCTCAAATACCAACGCCGTTGTCACCAGGTGAGGTTATCTTTCTTTTAAAAGTTTTTGCAAACCACCATTACATCCATCTTTGGGTGGTGTACTGTAAACTGTTTAATTTTTGTTATGTAAAAACACTATGGCACTCTGTGCTGTAAGACACTGAATCTTCAATGCTACTTAAAATCACAATTTTCACAGATTAATTAAATTGCCGAATTTTGTCTTTCTCAAAATTAAAGTTGTATATCAGTGCATTGAAACTGTATTGTAACCAACCATATCAGTGCATTGAAACTGTATTGTAACCAACCATATCAGTGCATTGAAACTGTATTGTAACCAACCATATCAGTGCATTGAAACTGTATTGTAACCAACCATATCAGTGCATTGAAACTGTATTGTAACCAACCATATCAGTGCATTGAAACTGTATTGTAACCAACCATATCAGTGCATTGAAACTGTATTGTAACCAACTATATCTGGGTGCCTTGAAACTGTATTGTAACCAACTATATCAGTGCATTGCAACTGTATTGTAACCAACTATATCTGGGTGCCTTGAAACTGTATTGTAACAACCATATCAGTGCATTGAAACTGTACTGTAACCAACTATATCTGGGTGCCTTGAAACTGTATTGTAACCAACTATATCAGTGCATTGCAACTGGTCAAAGTATTGTGGCTTGGGATTGTTGTAGCATATAAGGTATATTACACATGTTAATGGTTTGCTAACAAAAACAAGTTTTGGATTCGCCCCAAAATTGTGTTAGCTGCAATTCAAAAATGGAATTGACTACTAGTAATTCACAGTGGAAGATTCCATTATCATAGCAGTGATTAATTACTGTAGTCTTAATTACAGGGTCAAAGGTTATGAAAAGAGACACTGCAAGACCTCCACCTAACTTGCAATATTAAATCAATAAACAAGATACAATGTAATACACTGTTATACAACACATGTAAACATTAGAAATCTGAACCATAAATGTAATATAAATTTAAAACGTTGATTGCAAAGAGCTGTCACTGATAGATACACTAACTATATTGTCAATGTAAACATTCTAGGCATTTTACCCAAAGTTACGATAGTATACAATTGTAATTTTTATTTCCATAATATTTTAACTATCTGAGAAATGTTTTTATTTATCTCACACCATGAGTTAAGTGTGTTTCCATACAAAAGGCATGACATTTAAAGGAATGTTACTTTGGTTGTTCACAATGAGTCATTGCGAACTACTCACAAGATTGTACCTGATTGGCTACCTAACCCTAACAGACAGACCAATCAGAGACCAGCTTGTTTGTTGACAGGTTATTTTGACATCAAATTATACCTTGTACATCTGATTTGACTCAACTGCACAATTAAACTTCTGATGATTCTATTTCTGACAATGTTTTGTTTGTCTTTACAACCACCAGACAGAGAAGACTTTCCATTGACAGAAACAGAAGAGATGTACCAAGAGAGACTGAGAGAAGTTATACAGGGATATGAAACATTACTGTGAGTAATATAACTTTTAACAAAATGTTGGGGAGATGGTTCCGGTTGTCAACAAGACTCAAATATATCAAGCAAGACTGGATGTTTATTGAATGAACAGATACTGCATTGAACTTGTGCTACTCTCTTCTGTCTGGAAATGACTTTTTACCATTTTTGACTCCTGTGTGCAAACATACAATGGAAGTCTTTGCCATGAACATATCAAGAACAGCTCGCCGGATTTCAATTAAATTTGGTACATACATGTACATGCTGTAGAATAATGCATTGGCCTGATTATCTTTGAGTTAAAATATAGATGCTCTAAGGTAATATACAAATGTCATTTTGATTACCTAATTTTCATTAGCCAATTTCTGATCTTAAAAAATCAAATTTCAATTGAACTTTGTAGTAGAGGTGCTCTGGAATAAATCAGTCTACAAACCACAGATGTACAATCAATTTATTTCCTGCATGTATTATAAACTACAATACTGTGGATAACATTGTTTTCATGTTGTGAATCTCAAATAGCAGACCAATATTAGTCACCAATCTTCTTGTTTGAAAGGCTATTTTGAATCGTATTAAATATGCCTCCATACTCGGCACACAGGAATTCTTTCCAGACTTTCTTTGATTTTAATTGTAGCTCTCCATGATGTACATGGATTAGAATGGGTATGGCCTTCAGCACAACTGCATCTCTGTATACGTTCCATAATGTATGAAATAAAATTTGTGTCACCTTCTACGTTTTACTGATGCTTTCTGAATTTTTTTTTCAGTGAAAGTCAAATTGAAAATGAAGATAGTTTCAACCTATCACAGGACACTATTATATCTCATGGAGAGTCGCTTCCAGTGTCACCACTAGGGGGCGCTATGACTAGAACGCCATCATCAGTTGTTGAACTCCATTGCTCACAGTTTGAAGGTAAATACTATCAAGTCTGTCTCTTTATCTTGAATAGTGAACAGTGCTTAACATACTGTTTTTGAATACTCTAAAACATTTTAATTTCATGAAGGCTAAATGTTGTTTGCAAATTTCAGGAGTCTGTTAAAATCAGGAAATTTAAACTGTTTACCGCAACATTCAGTCTTTTACTGTATATTCTGTTTTGATCCTCTCACCAGTTTCTGTTGTATAAGACAATAGGGAAGTACTTGGACTAAAACATTCACTGTATTTCTTTACAAAATTTGTTTGTGGTATCATTTTCAATTACTGTAAAGGGATTAATTATTCACTGGGTTTTAATTTTGCTTATTTCGCTGACTGGAAAATGCGCTAAATTAAAACCTAGTGAATATGTAAAATTTAGCATAGAACATGTTATCTAAATGATAAAACCGTGAATTTAAAACCCACTGAATATGCCTGAAATGGTAAATCAGCAAAATTTAAACCTAGTGAAAATTACAGTATGTAAGCATCTTGTTTGATGCATCAATTTCTCCATCAAGGTTGGTATGTTGCACTTTGCCCAGGAGGATTATTTTAAATCATAGTTACAAATATTATTTCCTGAATCCTATGGGAAATTACGCCAAAATTCCTCTTGTTTTTTTTTTACTATAAAAAATATATATATATATCATTGATGTACTGCATATATATATACATGTAGTAGCGCATCTCCATTAGGAAGCGTACATAAACCCAAAATTGCATTTCTTGTCGCTGGAATATAAATTATGTCGACTAGAGATACATCTTTTACTAATAGAGAAAATGTTTTTATGTTTGTTACCCAGGCAAAGATATTCCCACAGATGATGGAGAAAGCGAAGATGAAGCCGTAATCGATGAGGATGCCGTGAACAGTATTCTTGAAACTAGTCAAAGTTTTAGAGATTCCCCAATCCCAGCATCACAAATACTAGGTGAGAAACTATTACACAATGTATTACAAAGTCAGTCAGTGCTACAGTGGTTTTATTTCTCACAACACTCTAGCAATGTTATGTACAAATTTCAAGTGCTAACCAAACAGTGTATTTTGCCACAGAAACAATATATCTCAGGGCTGAGTGACTAGCTTCACCTGATACAAGGGTCAACACAAGAACCACAGGACCTAAACCATTTCACCATCTGTTTCCTCTTTTCATCACAAATTCACAAAATAGTCCTGTTTATAGTCTGCATTTTCCTTCTAAAGTTTGTGGCAAAAATAGCCAATTGTTTTGAAAATTGACTCAAATTTTGACTATTGTTTCCAAAAGTAGGGTTCATTCTCAGAAATTGTAAAGAATATAAGAGAAAAGTGCAGACACATTTGGGCGAAAAAGTCAGTTGGTGAAAAGGTTGATGATTTTTGCTTGAAGCAACATCCAGTAGTGGCTTATTACATGTACCTCTACCACATTGGACCTCAGCTTACGATCTACTGAACAAAGATCAACCACAATAACCATTAATCATAATTATCACTAAGGGAACTGATCATTACCACCCAGCCGGTTTCCTGTGAGTTTGACTCGGTTTACCGTACCGGTCGTTGCTTTACCGTACCAGTCGTTGCTTTACCGTACCGGTCGTTGCTTTACCGTACCGGTCGTTGCTTTACCGTACCGACCGTTGCGTTACCGTACCGGCCGGACAATTACCGTACTGATAGGACCAATACCGACTATTTATCACCTTCGATTAATGAATGCATGGTAAACAAAGCCCGGTAACTGATCGGCGCCCTGCGTACCGTGAGTCATGCTGATTTAATTGGGCATTTGCAACATA